CTTTTTTAGTAGAAGTACCTTGTTATAAAGATCATACGATCATGAAGTTTGACTATATGTTGGGTCAGAATGTTTCTTAAGTGTTTGAAAAAAATTGACGTTTTTCCAAATTAATTAAGAGGAATTTTGCAATAGTATTGATGTATTGGACTCCAACGACTATCAATGTTCTTATGAGAACGTTAAAACTAAAATGAAAGAAAATATTTGTGTTTTTTTTATTAGGAATTGTTATTTTATATATATTTTTGTTGGGGTTTGTAAAACGTTATTTCACTATTTTTATATGAGGACATAATCACGTTAATTCTAAATAAAAAAAAAATCACATATGAGTTCATTTTTTCTATATTTACTTCATTTATGCAATGATATGTTAAATAAATTAATCTATTTACAAACTTACTCTGCGAAAATCATTCGACACCACGTGCATCGCACGTGCACTTTACTAGTATGTCGAAAAAGTATTTCCTTTTTTCCAGCTAACAGTTACGGAGTTAATTGATTTATGCTAACAGTTGCGTGTTTTACGAGAGAGTATCTCGTTTACTCGTATTGTATCTTTTCCCATTCGTACGCTTTTCCCTACATCAGTTGGTATCAGCAGTCAGTACGATTCGCGATGTCACCGGGACGAAGAGATGCCGCAAACAAACAACGTGATGCAACCTTCAACGATCGGTTTCAACAAACTGACTATCGATTTCAAGAGGTGGACGTGCGTTTCACGGATTGGTTTGCAGATCTTCCGACGGGGATCGAGGATGTGTGTTTGAAGCCGAACAACGTGATTGTTGCGGATTTGCAGATGAACCGTGCCGCCGGCGACCGGGGTGTGCGCGGGGGAGTTCACGGAGGAAGTGGAGGTCGTGGTCTAGGCGGGGCGCCCCGTCGACGATCTACACAACCACCGTCCGACGATGCAGACGGCGAGGAGACCGTCTTGGAGGTGGATCCCTTCGGAGAGTGGCCGCCTCCGCCTGTCCAGACTAAACTCGTTGTTGTACACAACGGCCAACCAGGTATGGTTTTTGAGGAGAATGACGGACTATTGTACGACGGTCCGCCTATTTTTGATGAGGAGCCACTTGTGGCGTCGATGAAGGACGAGTACCATGTGTTTGTAGAACCATCTATGAGGCCAGAGGTTGTGCCTGGAATAGATGTTTTCAGTGAATTGGAAGATGGATTTTCATGGTCCTTTATTCAACAAGCATATGCGTCTGATAACTCGCATAGCGTGCCCAAAAATGACAAAGTGGAGAGTTGTTGCCATAGATTTTCTGCTTGTGAGTATACCAAGTTCATGGCCCGTCAAATTGGCCCGGTCGGAACTGTGGAGCAGTTGAAGACGAGATTATTTCGGATTCGAGGGCGAATCCTTTTCGACAGGGGGAGAATGATGGAGATAAGGATGTTTAGAATCTTTAGTTATTATTATTATTATTATTATTATTAGTGGTATTATAGATTTGTTAGGAAACTTATTATTTATCACTCTTGTTAGGATTCTTGTCTTGTTAGACAAGTTAGTATTGTTGGGATTCTTGTCTTGTTAGACAAGTTAGGATTAGAATTTATGAGCCTTATATAAAGGACTCCCCTCTTTTGTTATCTCAAGTTGATTTGAAGAAAAATATGAATTGATTGTGAGTTTTATCGAGAGAGTATCTCGTTTGCGTGTTTTACGAGAGAGTATCTCGTTTACTCGTATTGTATCTTTTTTACTCGTATTGTATCTTTTCTTATTCGTACGCTTGTCCCTACGTCAGCTTGTTTACGATTCTCGTTGCAATTCTTATAGGTGCTGTTAATTCAAACTCTTGTGGGCGACTTGGAATAGTTCAGGGTAGGTCTACTTCAAATACGAACCCGGCAAGTGAGAGTAATCAAGGTGAGGGATTGTTATTATTTTTATTTAATCCTCAACTAATTACTTATGCAAATAAATAAATAAATAATGAAGGTAGACTTATAGTTCAATAATATTATCAATTTTAACAATAAGCATTTTTAATATTGTAAGTGCACTGTTTTATATATTTCACATAACCAAAAATGCATTGGTTTTTATATCTCTGATTAAATCTTATCATATGCAGCTGTGGCTACTTCTTTGAAGAAGTTCAATTGGATTGCAATATTATTTGCAACTACTGTGATGGTTTTGTCAAAATAAATTCTATCCATATGATAAATGTGTATTTTTATTCTATTTATTATTATTATTATTATTATTATTATTATTATTATTATTATTATTATTATTATTATTATTATATTGGACTGTCATTATTTCTTGTTGGACTAAGATATTCGCTCATGTGTAAATATGAATAAATGTGAACGTGCCGAGCTTGTATAAAATAGACATTGATTTTCATTATTAATTTGGGAAGATGATACTGTTCCGGAACCATTTCATCGGAATTTGTAACCGTTAGATCAACTTTCTCTGACAATTACATGATGATCTAGCGTTACAACGAAATGGTCCGATAACGGGACCTTAACATATCCAATTAATTTATCAACAATGACTTATGATATAATTAATAATAGATATATACAAAACTATCGTTTTTAAATATTATTAACTCACATCTTCACACGAAAAAGCTCCTATTTGGATTCAATATCAACTATCTTTACCGAACACAGAAATGTCAAAGACAATAACACAAACATCGTATATTTGCTGGAAAACTTCTGTCCGTAAAAGAAAAGTAAAATGTACCAAAATCGAGTAAGATATCGTATATTTGCTGGAAAACTTCCGCCGGTAAAAGAAAAGTAAAAGGTACCACAATCGACATATCCTTTCGATTAGAGACCAAACACGCTAGAAGCAAGTTTTTCTGTTAGTTTGTTTTTCGTTCGTAGCTCTCATAAACTATCTCCAGAAATCAATAAGATAAAGTAAAAAAAAAAAAAAATCATTGTTTCGGTTCGTAATGAAAAAGCAACTACCTAAAAGCTGCAACATCATCCTTGAATAGATTCAAGAGACCTTCAACGCTTATGGATTCAAACTCATTGCCGCCTCTAACCCGCAAAGACACCTGCACGTATGTGTGTGTGTGTGTGTGTGTGTGTGTGTGTGAGAGAGAGAGAGAGAGAGAGAGAGAGAGAGAGAGAGAGAGATTTGTTTTCATTGATGAGAAAAATTTGGTTGGTGAATGGAAGTTATTGGAAGAGTTAGTAATTCAGTTAATGTAAAGTGATGTAATATAAAAAATTATAATTAATTGTAATGTGATAGGAAAATAGTGAAATAATACTTAATAGTTATAAATAAAAAATTATAATTAATTGTAATGTGATAGGAAAATAGTGAAATAATACTTGATAGTTATAAATACGTGAGTGAATGAATATAAATTTTATAGATAAATTTGTAGTAATAATTGATTTTTAATTTAAAAATTGTATTGAAAAAATATGGATGGAGGAAGAGAAAAGTGAGATAGATGAATCGTGTAATTTTTATTTTTTTTAAGTAAATGATATCATATAAATATTCAATTGCACCCAAGAAAACATTGTAAAGCAGGTACTTTTTACCTTTCCGGTTCCAGTTTCTTGCGCGCCAACAACTAATATATAGTTGTACTGAGCCAATTGAGCTTCTCGTACCTGCAGATATTTATTTACATAACTCACCAAAATCATTCACATGCGAGTCTCCGAATGAAAATATATTAATATATTAAAAAAAAAAATCTGCTAAAGCCCTTCTTTACATACCCCTATGTTTGGTAAATCTAGGTGACACGCTAGCTTTATAATCGATAAGTTAACTGATATCTCGTAAATTAATTTAGAGCTTGTAGCTGACAGTTTATGAATGATGGTTGAAAAGCTAGCAGATATAATAAAAGTGTGGTAAAATTAGTTGATAATTCAGCTGAAATAAAATTTTCAACGGACTTTTGAATAGCTATATAAACAAGCTTATGAGAAAAGCTCGGGCATTTTTTTTTAAAAAAAAAAAAACTCATTCTACAAAACCAAATTATTTAAATACATAAAGCTTTATAAGCTCACTAAATGAGCTATAAGTTGGCTTATGGAGCGTATCAAACATACTCGTAAGACATAGAATATTCATTTTGACAATTTATAGGCAACTGCATTCTACTCCAAATGTGATTACACTACCGTGGATTGCAGAAAGTAAGGAGCAAATAAACGCACCTTTTTTGGAACTGTTCTGTCAGTAGTGTCAATATCAACAAAGAACCCAGCCTCGTGTATGCGATCCCGAATCTATAATCCATAATCGTTTGGCAACTTAAGTAACTCGCATAAAAAAAAATATATATATATATATATTATATAGTATCAAAAAACGATATCAATACAAGGTTCGTATATGTTCAAGTTCTTGTTCATTTATGTTTAAGTTGTTCATACTTTTAATTTTACTTATTTTTGTGGTGGTTCCAGCCCCATAAGCGTTCTCTTTTCTTACTTCATGGTGGCACTAGCCCCATATTAATATTAACTATAATTATATGTTACACCTGTGTTAACATACTATATTATTATTATTATTATTATTATTATTATTATTATTATTATTATT